GAGAGTAAATGAACTTGCGGTTCTCATTAATGTGTCAAAGCTCCGACGAGAGATTGTAGTAAAAAGCTCAGTTCTGATATAAAATGCTTTTTCATAACGATGAGTTATACATCAATAATTTCGCTCGTTTGAACTATTTTACCTCAGATGCATGTACCTATCTAAAGAAATGTTTTTATTGCATCGCTCAAGCTATGTAATGTGCGTATATAGGTTATAGGTAAACTCGAGAGTAGGAGTACGCGCGTCATGTACATAATGCATATTACATTGCATCTGGCTGTAACGCGAGAGACATAATTCGCAAAACCTTTGGAGCTGAATCTGCGTGGTTTTTAAAATCTCGACATTTTTCTAATTCTATTGAAAGCTTTGGACGTTCGATATGCATCCTTCTTGCAAAGTTAAACGAACTCTTTAAGCGATTTTCAAGTTTTTTTTTACGAACAAAAAACTTACGACGTACGCACTCCGCGTCCAATCGAAAGCAAAAAAAGATTTACGTGTTTTTACGTAGATTTAAAGTATAATAAGCGCGTCGAAATGCAAACGTCAGTCGATCCATAAATCTCGCTCGCATGGCGTACGTGTCCGTAAAATCTGCATGCGCTCGCCGGCTATATATAGTATAGGCACATAGTCGCGATTCTCGCGCTACATAGTCGCGATTGCCTGCGCCGATGCAATTTAATTACGAGCGAGACATTATAACACGTAATTACAATAGCGACGACTTGTGGCTTAGTCGCGACTCAGCCGCGCGAACCGCGCTATTTAGACTGTGACGCATTTTCTATCGCCGAGCGCGCGCAAAGCGTATAGCACATATTATACATATATTATTACGGGGCTTAAAAAAAATCGACTATAAATGTATGCGCTCGCGAGCTCGTGTATGCATGCAACTTGCTTATATACACGTAGGTAGAATAATAAAAGACGTGAGTAATGAAGAGATTATAGTCCGGGTTGTATATGCGAGCGCAAGCGCGCGTCCGTAAGTAAATAAAATGCGCGTGTGTGCTATAGCCGCCTCTTGCACGCGGGACAAAACACGACGAGATATTGTAATACTTTTAACGTATGTGCACGACTTGGTAAGCGAGAAGAGAGCGACAGGACTGACTCACGATGCGCTGAAAATCACACGCGCATTCTTTCGTGCGATAGATTATTTCTTTTTGCCCGCAACTGCAAAGCAAACGTCTTAGTCGGCACTTTACTGTACCTATGACCGAGTGCATGTGCGTGCTGTTGTGTGCGTGTATCGTGCCGAGCGCTTCAAAGTATAGTATAACCTGCGCGCTTTGATGGATTATATAATTGAAACGTTACATAGCACGGAGATCGCTCGGATCTCCGAGCGACGAGCTTTTGCACTTGTGCGGTGACTACCGTATGGCAGGGAAAAAAACTCGAGCAGCAGCAAACGACGACGATGTTAATCGAGCTCGCTTATTTGCATGCAGCCGTACTCGTTCGCCTGATTCTTTCGTCTCGATCTATCTCTTTTGCGCTCGATATTTTTATACATCATAATCGTAGCTCTGAGTGATACTTGTGTTGCCGAGGCGATGCAATATTTCTCCTCGCTGGCTATCTCGATATCGTGTTTTTCTGTTTCCCATGATGCCGATTAAAATGTGCCAAGGAATCGATTTGTCAATTGGTGCATCGATTTTCGGCAACATTAAACTGACTCTCGAGTTACGAGAGAACACTTAACAACGAGGCACAATTTTTCACAGATCCACGCATCGAATGCGGAAGTATTTCACGAATTCGCCTCTCGATCGATTCCCAATCGTAAATATTATATACTATAAGAGAGCGCAATTAGTCTATATACTCATCGAGGAAAACTTTCTAAAAATCGTATAAGCGGCGTTACGCGCCACTTGACCAACAAAGTCTTTGCATTAAAAATTACAATGATAAAAAGACCAGTTAGTATTCACTGCTTGCATATTAACAAAAAAAAACTGGAGACTGGACTCGATCCGAATCAAACTCGGATGAACGCGCGCACGCGCAACCAACGTAGAGCGCGTAAGAAAAAAAGGACAAAAAAAATATGACCACGAGTTAAAATGCTGCACATATCTACGGCGCGGCGCTGGAGCCGCGCGCGAATAATCGTATTATCATATTGACTCAATAAACACGCGAAAGGTAAATAAATCTGACTCATGTGCATCGAGTGTTGAACGCATACGCCGACTGTGTATACGGGCATCTTAACTCGAGCTCGACGAACTTCTAGCGGTGAGCCCGAGTGTATGTTGTTGCATTGCTATTTTCACAACCGCATTTTTTGATATCGTTATACGCGCGTACACGGCTCGTAAATATAGTCGTCCTAGGCCACAATGACTTTTCGATTGGAAATTATTAATCGTCCATACGCGTGGTATGCGCGCAATATCGTTGCGTCGAGCAGCTTCGTTTGTTGTTCTTTCTTGCGTCGATTATACGTCTTGACGTATTCGCCATGAAGTAAATTGCAATATAAAGTATAACGTGGCGTTGCCTCTGCAAATCTTATCGTTGATAAGACACCCTCTCTCTCTTTCCCTCTCTTTCTATTACAATTCGTTGTGTATTTTTCCCGTGAGTTCTTGGATCACTGTCGAAAAAGACGCGCATTGCAACATGCCATCTCTCTTTCTCTCTCTTTCTTTATGAAGTTTCGGCGCTCGCTTTTTCCGAGCGTCTATACCCACGATTAGGATTTACGATAGGAAAGGCCGCTTAAAATGCAAAGCACTCTAAATACCGTGTGATTACTGCAGGCTCGGGCTCGCCAATCGGAACGATATTATTGATAAATACAGCAGCAGTAGCGTCAGCTCAGCGGCTCGATCGGTTTCTCAAATACGTAATTGGCGATTTCCAACGGCTAGCTTCGAGCAGGCGGTAAGCAGCGCGCCACGAGCTGTTTCTTAAATACATATTTACTTGCACGTTGGATTGTTAAACAATCAATCTTGACGCTTTTTTTCATGCAATTGCAGCAGCTATTCAGTAACAAATGGTAGTTTCACAGCTCTTACTCTCTCTCTCTCTTTTTCTCGCGGATGAACGATCGGCCGACAGCGTTGATAATTTATTACGATCGTTTATCGCTATTTGCGCGTGCACATGCCTGGACACACGCGCGCGGCCAGGAAAAAAAGGCTCATTCCATCCTATTAATGCATCGATTTTTTCCCGCGCGCGCCACGTTTAAAAACGTGTAATTGGCACGATTTGATTTTATGTTATAGTCGGCTGCAGCGAGCCTGGCTCTCGATCGCGAGTATAATAACGCAAGACATGATATGTATTTTTCATTCGAAATATAATTATCAAGTATTAGTCTGACAGCAGTAGCAGCAGCAGTAGCGGCTCTCTGTGTATACACACGTACGCTATATAGCTAGAGCTGCCAAGTTTTGCCTTGCATTCCCGATAGATCTGAAATCACGATAATACGTTTGATAAAACGATCCGAGCCATATGTGTATGTGCAGTAGGTCCGCGACTATTAAGTCTGTACGCTCGTTGCTGCGGAGCAAAAAGTATCTATATATAGCAGCCACTCGTGATTAGCCTCTCTATATCCAATAGAAAGAGTCCAATCGATTTTCTCGTTGAAAAAGTGTGTGCTTTTTGACCGGAGCTCGAACGAAATCGCGAGTTGGTGCTCGATGAATCGCAGTCATGAGATGTGCGACAAGCTGCAGCAGCTCGAGAACACGTTTGCAAGTGCAACACATACTGCACATTATACTTAAGAGAGCAACTTTTCAGCTTCAACGCTGCTTTATGCAGCTTAGTTCGAGTCTCTCTCTCTCTTTCTTGTGCGTCGCGCTTCGCTTGTTTAAACGTACAGGATATATATACACGCGCACACATTGACACAAACAGTCGAGAATATGCGTGTGTCGGTATATGCATACCGAGTCATACGCAAATGTATATAGCGTAAAAGTCCACGTGCTGCATGCGGATAATACACGAAGTGCAGTGCGCCGCATAGGCAGAGTGTTCGAGCCGTGACCAAAGTGGGAGAACAGAATGCGGAATAGCCTAGAATGTGAGCAGCAGCAGAGCTTATAGGCGAAAGACTATACGCGTACAAGTTATATCTTACACGCGTGTAACGCATGTATGTATGTGTGTGCATGTGTATATTACACTGGCAATTTTCGTTTCGAGCCTCCCTACAAGACTCAAACTTTGAAATTCTCTCTCTCTCTATCTTTCTCTCGTTCGTTTTTTATAATTCTTTTAACACGCCGCGTGTTGACTTTTTGCGCCAGCTCGACTGCAACGAAAGTGTAAAGAGATTGGAGAGAGGGAGAGAGAAGAGAGTCGTTGAGATTCTTTGGCTTTTTACAACGCTGAACTCGTGCGCCAACTGTTTAAGCTGTGTATGATAGAGTAGCCGCACGCACACGAGCTTTTTTCAGCTTCTTCAATGGCTTAGGAGGCGAGCGCGGAGATTTCAATGCGCGTCGGAGCGAGGCACAAGTGCCACGAGCGCGACGACGTTGTAATGAGCGCATACGCGCGCGCTCGCAGCCGAGAGATCGAGCCGAAATCGAGATTAAAAAGGAAGGAAACCATAAAGATCAAATGATTCTTTTGGTTTATACGCGTAGCGTGTTTATACGGCTGTCTCGAGGAGCTTACATCACGAAACTCAATATCCAGAAAGTTGGCTTTTTTTCGTGAACTTTTTTTTTATCGCTCGGGCCTTTTATTTTTAATTTTATTTAAGCGGCGTATATATTCAGCACGCTCTCAAAAACATTCATTCAATCGTGCACCATTAATTATCGCGTCCGCCACCGCCACCGCCATATGTATATGTTTATTTTACATAATCATTATGAGCTTACTTACAATCTCGAATATTTATCCACATGCACACGCATACGTGCACTCGATAAAAAAAAATATCCAAGTGTAAATTATCAGAAATTTTGATTTTTACTTTTTCTTCTCTGTTACAGCAATGCGTTGCAGTGCAGGTGAGTTTGCAGAAATTGGCGTATGGTGGCATTTACGTAAGTTCTCCCCTCTCTCGAGCGCACGAACCGCCACCGCCGCGCAGATAATGATTCGAAAACATCGCGATTCATACAGCCGCAACTATGTATATTCGCAAACTATAGTACGCGCTCGTACGTGTATTTGTGTTGCTCTCTGCACGTCAGCTATCTCGTACGATTCGGTTAAGATTTAAATAGACATTATCTGGCCTCTTGGAATAATAACTTAAAGTTATAATATAAACGTGTATTGTGAGGTCGTTCAAGCTCCATCGTGAAGCTCGTGTGAGTATATAATACGATATTGCGATAAACCAGCATATAGCAGTTTGCGAATGCTGCAGTTTAACGAATCGCTCAACATTGTGACTAGACAAGTTTTGACAGGGGCATACGTTTACATATTATCATGCGTGCGCCCTTTCGTCTGAGCACGGCGCACATTACCTGCTTAAATGTAAGCTCACATTCAAACATATTATATTCACAAGCTCGCGCGAACAAAATGTTGGGGATACTATTCACGCATTGCTACGTCTGCATTCAAAAGGAAGAAAGAAAGAGAGAGATATTAGCATAATTTACTGTCGCGCATGCTTTTGCAGACCAGTAAAAGCTGCATCATTAGATTCGCGTCTAACGCAAGAGATTTCACATTTTTTTCCAACTGCTCTTTTCAGATTGATCAAAGATGTCAAAGTAGATTTAATAATTTTAGATTCGAAAGCGACCTTCTTATCGTTATTTTATATATTGAGAAATAATTAATGATGTATAAAATTTAGGGCCGTACCGCGGATTTAATTAAATTTATTATTGATGTGACTCGAACCTACTCCTTTACACCGTTAGTTGAGAATTTATAGATTTGATACTTTACCACCTCGAATCATGCAGTAAATTATTCGCATTAAAATTAATCTATTTCTAGTTAGCAGAGAAAATTATTCAACTTTCTTTTTTTTTCTTTATTTTAATAAATTTGCCGGGAAACCGAGTTGCATAATTGAACTTTCGAGCCTTATAAGAATTGTTTGAAATCTCGAGAGAAGCCTCGTGTACGTGCAGCATATGCAAATCAACGTCAGGTAGTTAAGCTCCATTAAAAAGGGAAAGATAACTTATCGCGTCTGATGCTGTATAGCTTGGATCGCGATCGATCGATATATAAGCGCAAAACGAGTCCAAAAGTATTGAGAATATAATATGTGCCACTTGCTCCTGCGGGACGCTCGACTTACAATATAAATACTCTGGACGTCGTCACGTATATTTTCTTTTTCTCATTGAAATCTGGCTTTTTTCAAAAAGTCTCCATTCAACAGGTGGTCGATATGCGTCCATTCATCTACCTATTGAACCTCATTGTTTGTATAAACTATAACGCAGAGATAGCAGCAGCAAGAGAGCAGTAACTCGTCGCGCTAAAAAAATCCATCTCGTAACTGTATATCTCGGGCTTTGTCGCGCAGAGCTGCTGTTCGAGTATGTTTATTCAATACTCTTTTTTTTTCTTTGAGAAATGGACGTGAAACGCTTTCATTTTTACGAGTATTCTTTTTGTGTGTCCGTTGCTGCTTGTATATATATAGTAGTATATATATATAAGTACCAACGGAGCTGTATAGTGGGCATATCGTGTGAATGTTTATGCGCTGGAATGAAAAAACTAACAAGCAAAATATTCGCTATTGGACCTATTATACGGCCAAATGTTATTCTTAGTTATTGATCCCGATCGTGAAAGAATCGATATTATCTCGAGCTTTTAATCGCCAAGTGCGTCGCGAGTACGGCATGCGGCCACTTTATGAACAATTCCGACGTACTGTATAAGCGTTATAATATCTATAACTAATATGCATAATCTCCTGCGATAAATTTTCACGAGTACTCTCACGAGGTGTTTTCATACCTATGCCCGAGCCGAGGATTACCACGAAATGATCTCTCGTGGCAAAAAAATCTATCGCGTAGTCTATCGACACTCGAATATAGACAACCTACCACGACACTTATCGCGTGAACGGACATGTCGAAGAAGGAAAAGTCCTTGATACGTAGATGATGGTCAGTGGCGCTGATGATCGGACACATTTTAAAACCATAAACTTTGGAACAGTCATCCAAGCAAGACTGAAAAAAATCTACATTTTCAATTTCTGCATGTATCCATTCATACATGCTCGTCGCGTTCATTCACGATCCTCTTATACTCTCTGACTGTGCGAGTATACTGCTATACGTATTATATCTACATCGAGTACAAATATGCACGAGCGGCTCTGCGATGGCGAGATCGAAACTGAAAAAGGAGCAAAACGAGTTGGCAGAAACGGGTCTATATAAACGGCCGAGCTGGAAATGGACGAGGAGATGCATAAAGCTGAAAAAAGGCTGCAAAAGGAATGAGAATACCGAGCTGGAGTGCGCGCGAGCGAGCCTCACCGAGATGTGTTTGCCCATTCATAAGTTGAAGCGAAGGTGCATTCGCTGCATGTATGTATCTGTGCATATATACCTTTAAACTTATAAACGTTTTACGCTTGTGTATACGCGCACATACACACGTACCTGCACGATGCAAGATGCGACTCGACCGCTATTGCGTACGGACAACGCGCGCGGGCGTACGTATTCGGTTACAACCTCTCTCTCTCTCTCTCTCTCTCTCTCTCTCTCTCTATGTATATGGGCTATATGAGCAATTCTCTAAATGAAACGCATTTTTGGAGGTAGAATCGCGTCAAATTTTTTTTTCAACCTACGCGGATACGAACCCCCGGGAAATGTTTTTGGGGGTCCTAGGAACATGTAACCACGTAGGAACCATTGAAATTTCAATAGTGCTTACTTTTATAGCTACTTTTGTGATTTAGAGGACGAAAAATCATGTTTTCTCGTAAATGCGGTTAGTTACTCAATTTCTAAGTCACTGAAAAAGTATGAAAACTCATTTAAAAATAATAACTGGCCTCTGTGTTCGATAGAAAATTTTCTCAGCTTTCCAATGGTGCTATCAGATTTTCCGACAAGTCGCACATTCACCGAGAAAATCGCCATCAAACGGGCCAAGCTAAATATCTCAAAAAACTCAGTACGGTAAAAGTGATCTTAGATGTCTATTTTTGATTTTTCCTGTTGAAAATGAGATTTTTCGGAAAATCTGACAGCACCATGAGAAAGCTGAGGATATTCCCTATCGAAATCATATCTTCATTTATTTTTTCAGTGGAATTTCGAGCTAGTTTTGATTGTAGCGAGCCAAAAACCTCGTGACCGCGCTGAATCAGCTCGGAAACAGAAAACAGCGAACAATGTAAAAGAAATTCCCATGTATAACATTGTGATTCGACTCAAAAAATAAATGAAGATATGCTTTCGATAGAAAATTTCCTCAGCTTTCTTATGGTGTAGTCAGATTTTCCGATAAATTTCATTTTCACGAAGAAAAATCGAAAATAAACCTCAAAAATCACTTTTTCCGTACCGAGTTTTTCGAGATATTTAGCTTGGCATGTTTGATGGCGATTTTCTCGGTGAATGAGCAACTTATCGGAAAATCTGATAGCACCATTGGAAAGCTGAGAAAATTTCCTATCGAACACAGTAGCTAGTTATTTTTTTTAGATGAGTTTTGATACTTTTTCAGCGACTTGGAAATTGAGTAATTACCCGTATTTACGATAAAACATGATTTTTCGTCCTCTAAATCACAGAAGTAGCTATAAAAGTAAGCACTATTAAAATTTCAATGGTTCCTACGTGGTTACATGTTCCTAGGACCCCCAAAAACATTTCCTGGGGGTTCGTATCTGCGTAGGTTGAAAAAAAAATTTGCCACGATTCTACCTCCAAAAATGCGTTTCATTTAGAGAATTGCTCATATCACGTCAACTGTCCCCCCTCTTTTTTATTTGATTTTTCATATTTTATTCTGCTTCCCAAGGGTGAATATGAAAAAATTATTGAAACATGATTATTTATGTAAAATTTGATGAGGGATTCAAATTTGATGTCAAAAATCATATTCATAACCTCAAAATTCCTAAATTACCGAAAATCAATCTGATGGCCAAAAATCAACATGTTTGAATTCACTTATTAGGCCAATATTGTAATATGTTCATCGATAAATCAAAATACAACTTCTGATAAATTTTGGTCATCGGCAGACAAACAGACTTCATTATTGAGCATCATATGAGTCAAGAATCAAGGACAATTAGAGAAAAACCATGTTTTATTGCCATTGCAATTTTGGTCATTGGATGCTTGCAATGCAAATTGATAATTATTAAAATTCTAGAAACTTGGAAAAAAACCTTAAAATTAGACATTTTGATTAAGTTATTAAAATTTTATTTAGAGCTATAAAATTGTCGAAATCATCCGAAACTTTTCTATTATTCTACTCTGAGATTCGAAACATGAAACACTTGAAGAAAAATGCCTTAAGATTCAACAAATAACATTTAAATGTAAATTCCTTATTGCGCAAACTTCATAACTTTTTTCAATTTCCATATTCCTATTGTAGTCGAAAAAAATCTGAAAAAATGTTCAATTTATAACACTTCAATTTTTTAACTTTTTCCGTAAAGTTGATGGTTAACAAATAAAAAATTATTCATGGATTTTTGAATTTGAGCTAACTTTCCTTAAAAATTATCATGTGAATATTACTTTTCAATATTCCGTTAAAGTTAAACATGGATTGAATCGTAATATTTACGGCAAACCACGATTTTTCGTGTTTGAAGGCGTAAATAGCTCTAGAAAAAATATCTATTAAAATCTTTATTTTTCAATTAATATTTATTAATACATATTACATGCGTCCAATGATTAAAATTACAATCGTGATTTTAGCCTCGAGTTTGCAAATGTCTTGTAAAATTGCTCATATATACTCACTCTCGCGAATGAAAGTCACTTGAACTGTTTCAACTCGTCGAAGCAACGCAACGGATAAATTT